GGAATTAGCTGAAACTGTTAAAATTAGCACAAAAACAGCTAAATAGTAGCTGAAATAGCAAACAAAGCTGAAACTAGCAGAAAAAGCTGAACAGCACATAACAAGCTGAAATTAGCAGAACAAGTTAATTAGGCTGAAATTAGCAGAAATTACTATAAAAATGAATATATCTGGAAACAGCTGAAATTAGCTACAAAAAATGTTATAAGTAGCTGAAAAGCTAGAACAAGCTTAATTTAGCGGAAAGAAACTGCAGAAAAAACAAGTTTACCCATTAGGCTGAAAGAAGCAGAAATGAGCCCAAAAAAGTGGAAATTACTTTAACAAAGCTGAAATCAGCAACAAACTGCCAAAAAGTAGCTGGAAAAAACAACAACAAAAAAAGCTGAAACTACAAAAAGGAAGTGGAGAGAGCACATTTTTGCTGAATTGGGCTGAAAAAAGTTTAAACGAACACAAGAAAATGTGGAATTAGCTGAAAAAGCTTATATTAGCCTAAAACAGTAGTAGTAGTAGCTGAAATAGTAGAAAAAGCTGAAACTTACAGAAATAAACTGAAAAGAGCATAACAAGCTGAAATTAGCAGAAAGAAGTTAAAAGAAGCACAAAAATGTTGTAGTTAGCAAAAAGAACCTGAAAGGAGCAAAAAACATCTGAAAATACAACTGAAACGAGCTGAAAATATCTGAAGAAGTTTAAACAATGAAGCTGAAAGAAGCTGAAGCAGAACAAAACATAAAAAGGAGCAGTAAAAGTTGTAAACAGATCTAAATATGAATTGATTTGAAGGATGGAAAATGAGCTCAATTCATTTTTTATGAGAAAAAAGTGTCAGAAAAGGCAAAATATTTCAAAAAGCTAAAGTTGCATCAATGTCAAAAGTCCCAGCAGGATTGTCCTGAAAGAGCTGAACGTTTTGATTTATGATTTGTTGAATTAGATGAAAACTGCAGGACGAGAATAACTATGATAAATGTACAGAGTGGATGCTTCATAAACAGTCACCATTTAAAATTTTGTTCACAATATTCGTTTGTTTGTTTGTTTGTTTGTTTGTTTTAGAAAATGGGCTACAAAAACAAATGTATGGCATTTTATTTGTCTTTATTTTGCCTGCATCTTCACTCAGTTTGGATCAGTTCTTCATTTTGACTTTCCTATTTTTTCTTTTGAGTTTTCATTCCTTCAAGTTGGTGTTGAATCAAAACTTCTGGAACGAGCATGAACCAAACACCCTGTCCCTCACTGACATTCACTAAACTCAGCAGTTTCCTTCAAAGACTTAGTGTAAACAGATAAGGTGTCTGTGGGATGTAGACTTTTGGTACTGGAACATGTTTGGTACCACATCATAGTTGTTTAACAGTAAAACTTACATAATACTTTGCGTCAAACTTTCTGCCTGCTGATTATTTTCAGTTCTGCTCTTTTCTGCAGAGTGGTGTTAATGGCTCTGTGGGGCTGTTAGAGATTTATTTTTTCCCTGTTCGTTAACATTATGATTCATGTTGAGCCAATAAAAGAAGCCCTGGGAACTGTTTATGTGTCTGAAGACATTTTGGGAGAAACGTTTCTGTTTGCTGTGACGATGAACAGGAAGAATGGTCTTTTTGTTCAGTGATGTTCATGTTGATGCTGGTGATGTAACGTGTCAACAGGAAAACAGTTCAGTATGTGGCAGATATAGTTTTAAATATGTTTTTATGTTGAGTTATATATATTTATTTTGCTTTAAATGTATTTTTGTGCAGGACTTGTGAAACATCACTGGACCTAAACCGGGAAAAACGTGGATCTTTCCTGTTTGTCGTTGTGTTTTGTTTTAATTCTTAAATTAGAAAACAATGAAATAAAAAGCTTTTTTTTGTTTTAAAACATAGAAACTGTTTTAACCATTGAAAATAGTTGTTGTTGTTGTTGACAAATATGTTGTCAGTAATCTGAAACACAAAGTCTGGCCTTGTGAGATGATCATTTTGTATTTAGCCAAATGTAGAATGTAACCATCTTTAATGGTTGTGTTTTAATGTTTTATGGTAGAATGTTTTATTGTTTTCAATATATAGGTCCAATGTGTTAGTATATTGAAGACAATTAATTTCTATAAAAGTTTTGACATTTGCAATTTTCTAAAACATCAGGGGTCCTCTTTGTTTTGAGTTCACTGCGACGAGCCTGTAGCTCATTTATCAGGCCAGAATGAAAATGTATTTTTCCAAACTGAGTGTTCTAATTGTTATCTACAACAGGTAGGATATTACTTAGTCATAACGTTTCCAAAGAGCTGTGCTTCAAATGGTTCAAGTTAGACATTTAAGACTTGAGAATTGGACACTTCTAACAATGACCAGCAGAAGCTGACTGAAATATTCTACAATTAGACACGTCACAAATTTATTCTACAGCATTGTATGTCACAATAAAGTTGAAGTTATTTAAAGTTGTGTTATTTAATTTCCTGGATTGAAGATTCTTCTACATTTTCCATCTGCATCTTTGTCCAAGTGATTTTATCGTCTGCTTGACCCGTTATTTCAGTGTGGAAAATCCTTGTCTATTAAACGGCACTTGTTCTGAACGTGAAATAATTTCCTGACTGAGCAGTTCAATCCCAACCATGTTCTTGTGTTTTATTATCCACATAAACTGTTTCATAAAGGCCTGTTTGATTAATTAGATGAGATTAGTCTGATTAAAAAGAGCTCGATAAGATTTTAATAGGCTCGCTTTCATGTGGATTACAGTGTGAGCAGCCTGGAGCGTGAACTCATAACACTCTACTTCTGAAAGCTGCTTCGTCATGTACACCACCGCCTGGGTTTATGTTCTTTATAGATCTCTCACACACAGTAATGTGTTTGTGTTTACTTCTAGATTTTTTAGTCTTTAAGTGCATGCACAAGAATCCATCTACCGCTTAGCGCACGAGTGAGCAGCCTCCTCCTTTATGTGTTTGTGTCTCTCTTATTCACTTCTATCTTCTCAGTTGGAGTCAAGCGGAGGTCCTGGTGGAATCATAAAGATTCAGATGAAAGCATAAAACAAGATGATGGCAGTCAGGAACTAAAGATATAAAACAACCTTAGATAAC